TATATATATTAGGGTGGTTTTAGTGAATAGGGATCATTTTAAAAACTTAACTTATCTAAAATTATACAATCTCAATTAGTTCTAATACTTATAAAAATGAGGTACGCAATGTTTCAGGTAAATCAGAAAAGATTAACCCGTGCCACAAAAGGCCTAAAGTTTGAAAACTCAAAAATTTTGGATAACCATATATTTTTTATTGTTTTTTTTAGTTCAGCGCGTGAAATAATTGATTCACAGCAAAGTTGTAAAAAAATAAAATTGTTTAAAATAATGTTTTACACAAATTATATTCTGAACACTCTTTTGATTTACTTATTTATTATGTAAAAAAAGTCAATATATAAATTATTTTGTTGTTAAAAACTCACAAAATAAAATGAATTCAGTGTTAATTTTATAATACGAAAATTTTTAAAAAAAATTTACAGAAATATAGAAAATATAAAAACAAAAAATTAATCATTTAACTAATTATCTAAATCATTTTGAAATTTGGATATTTACTGCGGTAATCATTTACTACATAAAACAAATATTGTTTTTGTTTTTCATCGTTTGTTATTTTCGTATTAAACTCTTTCATTAGTTTAACACTCTTTTCAGCTATATCATTTACTACATCAATGCTATTAATAAAACGTTTGAAAAATTGCATTGATTTTCCACAAATAAAATCTTCAAGATTTTTATTCAATATTTCAGTACCTTCTATTATATTCAATAAATATTTATTTGGTACATCATCATTTGTATGGATTTTTAAAGCAGCTATAATTTTTCTCTTTGTATCAAATGGAACATTAGTATCAAAAAGTGATAATACCGTATTCTCTGGCGATAGATACCATAAATGACCACACATTTTTTAACTGTAACTTCTGATATATTTTTATCCATTGACTGATAATTTAAATCTTGGTATGGTGCATTAGAAGCAAGTGGTGCATTAAACCAAGCTTTTACGTATAATCTAATAATAAATATACAAATACTAGCTGTTGGGTAGAGTGTGGCACTCGTGTATGACCGGTTCGAACGTGTTAATGATTCGTCCGGTCATCGTTACTTCTTCAGCGAGCGACACATCCTCTTTGGTACGTAAACAGTACACTCGTTCTCGCGACTACGATCTAATAGTCGTTCCTCAACAATTAAGTAGTGCGTTATCTTTTCTCGTATTCACAGCAAACGCCTCCGCGTGTTTGTGCTATTGATCGGCCATAGTTCGCCATATCTTTATTGTTTATGCTCATACGGTTGCGTCTTACATGTTTTGTACTGTATATCCGTGTAAAATAATCCTTCTCACATATTACGAGTTAGTGTCATCATTCACGTCGTCATCAACGCTCACATACAGTCCACACTCACCACCATTAATTACCACCTTAACTTATACAGCTAAGTGTTTAATTGTTTGTTTTATTTATTTTGTATATTATCTATTTTGTTCATGGCCGCTTTGTCGGTCAGTATAATATGTAAGTTACCCCCCCTTTCCCTTTACTTTTAAGAATTTCATTTGCAGAACTGTAATATAATTCGTAATTTATACAATCATAAGCAGGTGTATTTATTATCCCCTTTGATTTCCGCATTTTGATTTCAACAAAATAAACAACACCATCGCACAGTAATAGGCCATTCCCCTTTATTATTAAGGGGCTGCTTGTTACACTAGCTATTGAAATTTCTTTTTTTTTGGGTTAAATAAAATTGATTTCGGAATATAAATATTTTTAAGTAATATAAAGCTTTTATATAAAAAAAAATTGATCACTTGTGGCTAATTAATTAAGTAAAATTAAAACTATATTATTAATTTATAAAAACTAAAAATATTAAACTCAAAGCCACAAAAAATTAATGAAAAGTCGCGGATACGTATTTCGGAAACAATGTTAATATTCTATACTAAATAGATTCTAGTTACAAATACCCAGTAAATTGGGTAAAATGCTACTGTCGTAACGCATTCACCACACCCCGCTCACTACTCATGAACAACAATATTTTCCTGTAAAATTTTATTTTCAATTATATATATATAAACAAATTTTTATTTTGACTGACCAAATATATATATTTATATATTCCTACCGCCGCTGACGCCGTTTTTACCTAAGGTATAACGTTCCCCCGACCACAAACCAAGGCTATACCTAGTGCATGATACGTTTATGTACTTATGTCACCTTACTATATATATGTAATACAATAATATTATTAATAATAGTTTGTTTATATATATATATATATATATATTCCTACAGCCGCCACATATACCTCGCGTACAACATTCCCCCGTGCCCCGCCCGCTCACAAAACACAGCTATACCTTGTGCATGATACGTTTACGTACTTAAGTCACTTTACATGTATATATATTATCTAATTACTATTAAAAATAGATATTAACACGCTTTATTCTAATTAAGAGATATAAAGTATTCATTCCGATTACGGGGGATGATTCCCGTATCGTTATTTTTCATCACTACCTCCACGTTGCGCGCCTGCTGCTTTCCTTGGATGTGGTAGCCGTTTCTCAGACTCCCTCCCAGGAATGGACCCCTGTTTTCCCGTAACCCGTTACAACAATGATATTAATAGTAACTACTATCATAACATGAAACTAAAAAGTGAAAAATAAATATAGTTTAAAAAAACACGCTTTTAAAGCTCATCGAACTAAAAAGTTAAAAATAATTTTTAAAATAAGCTTAAAACAATAAAAAACGAAAAATACTAGTATTATTGTGATAAAAGCGTAAGTGCTTTGTGCCATATTTTTCGTATATTGAGTGCTGGACAATTTTTTTCATAACTAGTATTTTTCGTTCATTATTATTTTAAGCATATTTTAAAAATTAGTTTTAACTTTTTAGTTCTATGTGCTTTAAAAGCGTGTTTTTTTAGTTTTTTTAAACTATATTTATTTTGTATTTATAATTTCTATCATATTTTTAGAAATTTCTAATAGTTTCAAATGGTAATTAAATTTTACCTTCTTGACCCATTTTATAAGCTACAAGTAAACAATTGAACATTTGTAATTTGACTGGCATAAAATCGTCTTCATATATTGTGGACAGAGTTGAACATAATACTGGCTGAAAGTAATTTAAATGTTTTTTTTTATAGCAAACTGGTTTTTATGGCTGCGTAAGGAATCTAAAAAAAATTACCTTTCCTATGCAATACTATCAGCCATAACATTAAAGTTTAATAAATTTAGAAAAATTACGGAGATTAGCATAATGGACTCCGTAAATTTTATAAATTTAAGATTTATATAACAAATTTTTAATTTAAAAATTTATATCAAAACTTGTGTTTCAGACAAAGCTCATGAAATAAAAAAATAATATACATAAAAGTGATTACAATCTACGTTAATTTATCTTTTTAATTAGTGCTTATAATATAATACAGAAAAAAGTGTAAGGAGCTAATTCAAATGGGATCCCCTCAAAAAAATTTATTTCAATTATTTATTATTTTTAAAAACAACTATACAGAGTGATTATTTAATACAAACTATTTATTTATTCAAAAAATTAAAAATTAAAAATAAAATTCAAAATTGTTTTATTGTAACCCATTAAAATGTTTGCAGAATAAAAATTATTTTGTTTTTCGTTTACTTTTACTTATATGCTGTTCTCGAATTATTATTATAATATTAGCTTCGATGCAAAGCTGAAAAGGTATTAATTTTCCATGATGTGTTTTTTTTTTTAGCTTTGATGCGAAGCTGAGAATGTATTAATTTTACTATGATGTGTTTTTTTTTTTTTTATGCCTGTTGCCACTTTTTCTCAGCTCTCACTGGACCGATGTTCTGGAAATACTACGTCCTTTAAACATATATCAAATTAAAGCTTATTTTATGTACTATAAAATGAAAAAAAAAATTTGTCCCACACTTTATCTTCTGCATGTAAACGGCTGCGGTAGTTAAAAAAACACTATTTTTGTGTTAAAATTTTTGATTTTCGATTTTAAATTTTCAACTTAAAAATTTTATAACTTTTCGAAAAATGTAATTATTAGTACAAAATTTTTTTTTCTAAATACACTATGAGGACATCTTTCATTTGGCATACTTTTTATTAAAATTGGACAATTTCCCCATATGTAGGAGGCGTTTAAAACTTGAAACATTGTATAAAAAATAGAACTTTTTCAACTTAACTTTTAAAAATGTTCCGGAAATACTGAGTCCTTTAATCATATGTCAAATTAAAGCTTATGTTATGTACTATAAAATTAAAAAAAAAAAATTTGTCCCGACGACCTATCTTCTATGCGCAAATGGCTATCGTATTCAAAAATAAGCCATTTTTGTATTAAAATTTTGTATTTTATTTTATTTTAAAATATCTTATTAGGGGAATAAACTGACTTTCATGAATATTATATAATATCATTGACATAGAATAAAGTTCATAAGACATATGAAATTATACTTATTAAAATTTTTTTACTTTTTTAAAATCGAAAAAGTAATTTTTAAATTTGAGTTAGCTTAAATAGCCAATTTTATCATGCAACAAAAAGTAACGAACAGTTGCCGAATGGGTAACATGTTGATCTTTCACGCCAAGGTTACGAGGTTCAAAACCGTCTGTGACTTCTAAAATTTTGCATTTTTTTTTTGAGTTAAAATAGAATTTTCAAATCATTTGATATTTATCTCATTTAGATTCAATAATTTCAATAAATATAAAGGATCTTATCACTAGTCTCCCCTCCTGAGAAGAAATTGATATTCATATTAATAATATTTTACTGTGTGTTTCTTTTGTGGCTACGATTTATTTTGCCAACCCTCACTAGACCTACTTTTTTCAACGATACGTCAATTGATTCATTTAAGTTTATGATATTTAAGTTAATACTCTTAAAAATCAAAAAAATATTCCTTATTCAAATAAAAAGTAGCTTAACCAGCTTTTTCCATACAAACAATTAAAATCATTAATTTTTAATATTCTTAAAGTATTTATTGTCGAATTAGATTTGATATGATAAAAGTATTCAACTACAAAAGTAAATAATTTTACTTTATAATTTATTAATTTTTTAACTCTATTTATGTGTGCTACTACCAGTCTATAATATGCCAAATTTTTTTGTAATATGTTGCTATATAAATCATAAATTTAAAAAAAAAATTATTTTTAGTTTCACCTGAATTTAAAGATGCACTTTTACGATTATAATCAAATTTTATAATACGCTCAATTGAGTAAATCTTTTTAACAACTTTTTTTTTATTGGCTTTTTTAGTTATATAATCATTAAAATTAATTAACTCTGAATATTTCCATTATACAATCTTTTTAAACGCCAAAAGTTAATTAGAAATGATTACTATGATTTTTATTGAAGAGATCTATTACGATAACAATGTAAAAAAAATCCAAATTTTCTGATAAATGTATTTNTTTTTATTGAAGAGATCTATTACGATAACAATGTAAAAAAAATACAAATTTTCTGATAAATGTATTTGCATATTAATTTTAACAATTTCATTTTTTTCTATTTAATAATGCCAATTTCAAACTTGCAAGTTGAACTATAAGTTATGGTAACAAATTCATTTTTTTTTATTAAAACTTTCACTTAAAAGGACAAAAAAAAGTAGTTTCAAAATGATTACTTTTAAAATATTAAAAATCAAAATAAATAATAAATTGAAAACAATTTATTTTAAAAATTATATAATATATAATTTAAAGAAATACTAATCTGGGTATAATTAAGGAAATAGAAGTTGATATTGCTTGTGTAATTATCCATCAATTTCTTAGAATTAAATACTATCTACAGATTTGCATCGAAGCGTTTCTCATAATAGCGATTTTATGTTAGATTAAATCAACACTGGACCAAACTATGCAACATCCCTACTATGCCTCGACCCCACTTTGCTAGGTTTTTTTAAGTTGAAAATTTAAAATTTAAAATCGAAAATTGAAAATTTTAACACAAAAATAGTGTTTTTTTAACTACGGTAGCCGTTTACATGCAGAAGATAAAGTGTCGGGACAAATTTTTTTTTTTATTTTATAGCACATAAAATAAGCTTTAATTTGATANATCATTTTATAGCACATAAAATAAGCTTTAATTTGATATATGTTTAAAGGACGCAGTATTTCCGGAACATTTCAAAAATTAAGTTAAAAAAGTTAGTTTTTGTAAAAAAGTTGCTATTTTAAATCCCCCCTCATGAGCAGGTTAAGTGTTAAATTTTCAAAAAAATGATATCAAATGAAAGAAAAATATTTAAGGTTTTAGTATAAAAAAAAATGATGTTGATTTGTTTATTTTTCAAAAAGTTATGGAAGTTTTAAGAAAAAAAAATGAAAAAAACCCAGCACAGGGGGGTCGCGGCACAGTGGTGACGTGGTATAGATGGATCAAGTATAATGATATCTGACAGTTCATTATTAATATCCTAATTAAGATAAAGTATGTAGAATGAAAAAGGGATTATTAAAAAATATTATTTCTCATAAAAAAATAATGTTNCATTTTAAAAAATTGGTGGACTATTCCAAAAGCTACATTATCTGCTAGTTCATTATTAATATCCTAATTAAGATAAAGTTTCAGTATATCTAAGGTTTCAGTATAAAAAAAAATTATGTTGATTTGTTGATTTTTCAAAAAGTTATGGAAGTTTTAAGAAAAAAAAGTGAAAAAATTTCGAAAATTAGCGATTTTTAAATTTGTAATTTTTTTGGATATTTCCCCCATTTGCGGGGAACGAGGGAATTTTTTTCAATTTTTAAGGGNTTTCGAAAATTAGCGATTTTTAAATTTGTAATTTTTTTGGATATTTCCTCCATTTACGGGGAACGAGGGAAATTTTTTCAATTTTGGAGGGTAATGTCTTCAACTAGATACAATTTGTGATCTTTTGACGTATTGTTGATAGAAATCGGTCCAGTGAGAGCTGAGGAAAAGTGTCAACAGGCATTAAAAAAAAAAAAAACACATCTTAGTAAAAACAAAATCATCTCAGCTTCGCATCAAAGCTAAAAAATTCTCAATATTATTTAAATTTTTTTATTAATTAATTGGTTCAAAACAAATGAATCACCTGCATAATTTATTAGCACTTAATTAATTTGTATAAATTTTTATCTAAATCAATTTATCCAATTCTTAACCTAACATAAATTAATGAATAATAAAAATTATTTAACTATAAATACAACATTGATTTAATACATAATTTCCATCATGATCAAAGAAACTGTATTTTTGAAATATTAATATCGATGTAACTTACAATAAGGCATAAGCACATGAAAAGGAAATGCATTATTTTTAACTGGAAAATATCTAGAAATAAATGTGTTAAAATTAACATAGTTGAAGCATTAATTAATTTTGTAATTTTCACTAGCCTTTTTTTATTTTTGTGAGCTAATCGCTTAAATTTTATATGTGTGTAAAGTTTTGTCTATTTAGTCCGTTGAATTAGCACTAGGGTCAATCTCAAATTATTTTTCTGAGGACTCTACAAATTATTATAAAGGAAATAATTTACATTATCACTACTAAAATCGTTACACTATTTATGTTGTAAAAGATTAACTTATTCACCATGTATAGTATTGTATTGTAAAAAATTTGATCAAATTTGCTTATACGATATATATTAATTGTTCAGAAATACATAATTTATATATTTAATATTTATTCTAAATATTGCCTAAAAAGTTGTTGAATACTATGGTTATCTATCAAAATTAACAATGACCTGATTGATGGTTAAAAATTATCCAAAAATAGAACAAAAGTAAAAAATATAATCATATAAGAGAAAGGCAATAATACATTAGTTTAATGCTCGACCTAGAGCAGTTCTATTTGTATAGTATTAAATAAACCTAAAATTTAGAGCCCCATCCCTCCTTAAACTTCCCAAAGTATAAAAATTCCCTAAAAACTTTTATTGGAGATAATGGCGTATGTCTTGAACGAACTGTAANCCCTAAAAACTTTTATTAGAGATAATGGCGTATGTCTTGAACGAACTGTAATGGTTATAATAAATAGAAATTAAATAAAATTATAAAAATAATTATTAAAAATTAAGTTACCCGATTGACAAATGAATTTTGAAAATTTGATTTTACAAATAAAACATATACAACTAATAGACTTGCACTTATACTTTTTTAGATATTTTTTTAGCTTTACTGTTAATTATTTATACTGTTAAATTGTAACGCTATTACGTCATACACTATTTGGAACACGTACATACGAATTAAGTATATTTAAAAATGTCTAATAATAAATCATTTAATTTAAATTATATTAGTCTACTATGATACAAAATTTATAGAATAAAATATATTTGAAAAAATTTTGTAGTTATTAGCTCATATATTGTTAATAATGACTTTTTGTAATAAAAGGACTCAAACATTTCTTTGAATAAGTGGGTAAACTTTGGCTAGTAATACGATCACATTTGCATGTGCCCATATCTCTATCTCACTTAACATCACTGTATCGTTTATAAAACATATATATATATATATGTTTTAGTGGGTGGTTTTAGTGAATAGGGATCATTTTAAAAACTTAACTTATCTAAAATTATATAATCTCAATTAGTTTTAATACTTATAAAAATGAGGTACGCAATGTTTCAGGTAAATCAGAAAAGATTAACCCGTGCCACAAAAGGCCTAAAGTTTGAAAACTCAAAAATTTTGGATAACCGTATATTTTTCATTGTTTTTTTAGTTCAGCGCGTGAAATAATTGATTTATTTAGAAATTTAAAAAATTTAGAAAAACAGATATTGGTAAAATTAATAGTTTTAAATTCCTTTTAAAAATGTTTTTTTAAGTTTCAAAAGATTATGTTAGAAGAAAATATCATGATGCGCAAAAATATTTTGATTAAATTTACACACTTTTTTTTAATTAAAACTTACAATATTTTAAAATTATAAAATTTTTTTATTATAACTCACCCAATCACCTACAAAATAAATATAATTTAAAATTTTTTTTTTTGGTTTTCTAAAGTTGCACATTATTCTTGAATTGTTAACTATGTGATACTTTTTAAGTATGTTTATCTACATAAATCTACAATCTACTATTTGATACTATCAAAGTATGTGACATAATCTGTAATTTAAGGTATATATAAAAATGTCAGTATTCCGGAATACTTTCAAAAGTTAATATTTTGAGAAAAAGTTGTCATTTTGAATCCCTCCCTGTGGGCAGGTAAAAGGTCAATTTTTTAAAAACAATTATATCAAATGAAAGGGAAATCTAAGGTTTTAGTAAAAAACAAAAAATTATTTTGATTCGTTTATTTTTCAATGATTTATGATAATTTTTAGAAAAAAAAATAAAAAAAACCCAGTACAGTGGTATTGTAACACAGTGTAGATTTGGCATACTTGAGTCAAGTATTTTTGCATCGAAGCTAAAAAATGAGTAAGACTTTCTGGAACACTTTCAAAAGTCAAGTTGAAAAAGTTAATTTTTTATCAAAAATTTGTTATTTTGAATCCCCCCTGTAGGCAGGTAAACAGTCAGATTTATAAAAAATATCCCAAATGATAGTAAAGACAGCATGCAAAAAAAAAAAAAAGTATATTGATGTGTTCATTTTTGAAATAGTTATGGCAGTTTAAAAAAAAAAAAAGTGAAAAAATTTCGAAAATTAGCGATTTTTAAATTTGTAATTTTTTTGGATATTTCCTCCATTTACGGGGATCGAGGGAAATTTTTTCAATTTTGGAGGGTAATGTCTTCAACTAGATACAATTTGTGATCTTTTGACGTATTGTTGATAGAAATCGGTCAAGTGAGAGCTGAAAAAATGTAGTGACAGACACAAAAAAAAAAAAATAAAATAAAAACATAATGGTAAAATTAATATCTTCTCAGCTTCGTATCGAATATAAAAGTGCACTGGGTTTATTTATTTGTATTTATCAATGATACATAGAACATTTGATAGTAAAACACAAATACCCTGATATGCGACACAAAATATAACTTGTTAATTTTACCTTTTTCTACGGTCTTTTAAACCTATTGAATATTTGTATAATACTTACTATCTGAGTTAAATAGAATACTTTAACGATTAAGCAAAAATTAAATTAGAATAAATATTTTCAAAAAATGTTAAGTTTGAGCTTTGTAAAAAAGCAAATAATTTTAATATTTATTGTTATTGTGAAAAAATTTCAATCATGTAGAAATTTAATTTTAATAATAATTGTGTAATAAAAAATTAAATACTTTATACATAAATTATTAATATATTTGTTAGTGTGAGTCACAATATAATGTTGTATTTTTGTCTTGTTTATCTGGTCAGCGATGCGTTTTGTAATATAGGTCTGTTCAGTGTACGTTCCACCGCTGAACCATCAGCGACAAGCTCTAAGTTATACCTGTATTGAAATATTGTCATTTCAGTTAATTATAAATAAAATTACGGAGAAAATATTGTGTAAACTTTATTTAATTATTTTAAAGTTAATATTTATTACATTAATAAAACAAATTAAAAAAAACCCAGCACAGTGGGGTCGCGGCATAGTGGGGATGTTGCATAGTTGGGTCCAGTAAAGATTTAATCTGACAGTGATTAAAATCACTATCATAAGAAACGCTTCGATGCAAATCAGTAGATAGTGTTTAATTCTAAGAAATTGGTGGATAATTACAAAAGCTACATTATCTGCTAGTTTCTTATTAATACCCTGATTAAGATAAAGTATGTCGAATGAAAAAGGGATTATTAAAAAATATTATTTCTCATAAAAAAATTGTGTTGATTCGTACACTTTTCAATGAGTTATAGCATTATAAAGTTAAAAATGTAACCAACCCAACCCAACATCAACTCCTATTTCCTTAATTATATCCAGATTAGTAATTATTTTAATTATATATTATATAATTTTTATAATTAATTATTTTCAAATTATTATTGATTTTTAATATGTTAAAAGTAATCATTTTGAACCTACTTCTTTTTGTTCTTTAAAGTGAAAGTTTTAATAAAAAAAAAATGAATTTATTACCATAACTTTTAACTCAACTTGCAAGTTTGAAATAAATATTATTAAATAGAAAAAAATGAAATTGGTAGATTATTTCAAAAACAACAATAACACTTATTCCCTTAATTTTACCCCGATTTATAACTATAATATATGAATACATAATAATTACAGTAATTAAATTGAGTATGAAAGTGGTATTCAATAATATAATATTGTAATTTTTACGGAGATATTATAAAAATAAAAAGGAGTTGTATATTCATATACTTTTAATGCGTATACAAATTTAAAGGAATTTATGCAATACTTTTTAATAAAAAAATTTTGTTACTTATGAATAAATACACTAAACAAAAGGAACTTTCATCAGAAAAAAAATATACTTTTCTAAATAAACTTTTCGTGATGTTTTCAAATGTGCAATTAAACTTTTTCTATTACTTCTAAGTTTTAATATTATTACTTATTATTAAAAAATAAGTATTTACATATAAAAAAAAATAATTAAGAACAAAAAAAATTGTATTAAATTAATACTGATTTTGATTTTTAATATGTTAAAGGTAATCATTTTGAACCTATTTTTTATTGTCTTTTAAAGTGAAAGTTTTAATGAAAAATACCTTCTCAGCTTCGCATCGAAGCTAAAAAATGAATTTGTTACCATAACTTATAGTTCAACTTGCAAGTTTGAAATTGACATTATTAAATTGAAAAAAATGAAATTTTTAAGATTAATATGCAATCTGGAAATTTTATAATTACTAATTACAGTACATTTGTCAGAAAAATTCGATTTTTTTACATTTTTATCGTAATAGATAACTGAAATAGAAAGAATAGTAATCATATCCTAATAACTTTTGGTGTTTAAAAAAATTCTGCAATTGAAATATTCAGAACTTAATTAATTTTAATAATTTACTTTAATTAAATGAACCAATCAAACCAAAGTAGTTAAAAAGATTTACTCAATTGAGCATATTATCAAAAATATAATTATAATTGTAAAACTCCATCGTTAACTTCAGGTGAAACTAAAAATCATTTTTTTTTTAAATTTATGATTTATATAGCAAAATATTACTAAAAAATTTGGCATATTATAGACTGGTAGTAGCACACAGAAATAGAGTTAAAAAATTAATAAATTATAAAGTAAAATTATTTACTTTTGTAGTTGAATACTTTTATCATATCAAATTTAATTCGACAATAAATAATTTAAGAATATTAAAAATTAATGATTTTAATTGTTTGTATGGACAAATCTAGTTAAGCT